TAGGAAATAGGATAGGTTAGAATAGTTTAGAGTAGTGTAAACTAGGGTAATTTAGACTAGTCTAGGTTTAGATAGAATAATTCTCGTAACACTTTTTTATTTATTAATGTTAACAGAAACATTTATTTTTATTCATGAAAAAATTATTTTCAGATACTGCCTGAGAAGTAAAATCTTCTCCAACCTTTTTTTTTTTAATACGATAAAAAGGCCAAATGCACGTGTCGTGATCTTTAGATTTCTCTGGTTTTGGTTATGTTTTCTGTGATAACCAAATAAAGCAACTGTATTTAACAAAACCGCCATTACCTGAAGACTTAGCAAAACCGTGCAACTGTAATATTATATAGTGCAACAAGTGCAGAAAGTTACCAATTCCACACGATGTGTGAAACTTGTGGCACGAGCGAATGCGAGTTCCACAATCACACGAGTGTGGAATTGGTTTTCTGCACGAGCGGCACACTATACTTTTTCTACGACCACAATGACTAAAAACACAAATTAATATATTTTTTAATAATTGGATGATCTTTATTAACGATTTAAAATTATAAATATGAAGAGGGGGTAAATATTTATTATTGTTATCACTTTTTAAATGTGTACTTAACATAGTTTCTTTTTTATATTTTTCGTGGACATCGTCCCGGTTTCCCCTGTCTGTGCCCTAAATAAAATAAAACAAATTATTACCACTATTAATTTTGTTTAATAATTCACTAAACTATATAAACGTATTTGAATTTTTTTAAATTTCAATTACAAATTTATTTATTATAAAAATTAATATTAACAACATTACAGTTTGAAATATTAAGAGGTGGTAAATCATGACCTTGGATGGTTTTTTCATATGTTGTTTCTGAAATAGATATTCTGCTAGTAGAACCTTCAGGTTCTTCACTCCTATTTTCTACAGAATGTAGAATTGAATTTGCGATATCCATTTTATGTGATAAACTGTCATCGATGTATCCTTCCGCGGTTGTAGTTGACTTCCATCTTTAAGCTTTGTTATATCTGCTCCAAAGTTAACTAGAATTATTGCGGACGAACGGCGAAAACAGTGGCTTGTATAATTTTTGTGATCTGGTAATTTCAAATATTCAGCAATTTGTTGTGCCATATTTCCAAATTTATTGATTCCTACTGGTTGCACTGTGCGCTTGGCCCTTTTGATAATTCGTAAAAAAATAATTGTGAGGTATATTTGAAGGACGAAGAGTGTTATATTTTTTAAATATTGCATAAAAATCTCCAGTAACCGTAAACTTTTTAGGAACTTTAGTTTTTGTCTTTGTTATATTGACTAAAACAGCAGAGCCCATGTCTTGTACGTCACACATTTTTAAATTTTTTAATTCTTCTCTTCTACATGCTCCCATTATTCCCAAAATCAGAGCTCTCTATAAAATAAAATTTAACATGAAAAAATATTAATCTTTCATATTATTAAGTATTTAACTTTATAAGTAGATAAACATCATCGGAAGCTTCATTTAAAAATTGGTTGATTTGTTCAGGTGTAAGTATTTTTGACTTTTTTGCTACATATCCTTCAGACTTTCTTTTCAGAAACGAGCGCAATTTTTGATAGCGTGAAATATCTACATTTTGCCTTATTGACAATGTAGTTTTCATCATCGAGTAAATTGACCAAAATGTAGAAGATTTAAAAGATTTCGATTGCTCCCCAAAATAAGCCATTAAAATAGTTTCTGAAAAGGAGTTCACCTTATTTTGTAGTCGCCAATCCATAAATCTTAAATAAGCTAAGTTGTATTTTTTCGCCGATGTTTGAGGCAATAAGTCTTCTGTAATGCTATTCGCTATTTCTTTAATATGTGGTGGAGCATTGTAATTATTATCACTACTATTACTATCACTGTCTATTTTATTATTTATAGTTTTCAAAAGTATCGAAATAAAATAAATTAAATGTCAAGATTTGAAATGTCAATATTTTAAATCGGGTAACTCGATTTAAATTTTTGTTGTATTATCCCCTTTATATAGGCAACCAACATTACATAAATTATAAATTATTTTAAGTTTTTTTTTCTAAATTAACAGAATTTTGTAGTATTCGACGAAATATTTAGTTAAATAGATATGTCCTTAAAATAAAATATTGTGTTTTTTCATTCATACTAAAGGTTATACGATAATTTATTCGATGAACTAAACAGTGTGGAATTACCTCGTGGAATAATATTTCCACACTAATTATTAACGTGTACGGAATTGCCTACTTTGATCCTTAAAAAATAATTCGGAATTTATAATTTTCTGTAGTGGTCGTCGAAAAAAAAATTGTGCAACGAAAGCTTGTTCGTGTCAAAAACTAAACATGACGTGTGTGGCATTATGCGGATGTTAAATTGAATGTTGCCAAAATCATTTTCATGTAAAAACTAGTTAGATGTACAATTTTATGTAAAAATTTTCCTAATAAATGAATATTACTATTAAATAATCTTAAACAAATTCCATATTAAATTTCTCGTATTTCACTTTTATCGCATGAATGATGTACAAATACTAAGTTTAACAAAACATAACCAAACAAATTTAATTTACAAATTGACGTATTGGCATTTGACAACCGTTTGTTGGTGGTACATCAAAGAGGCAATGCGCAGTACGTGCTCAGTCTGGACGGGGAATTTGCACCATACAGCACCGTACAGATTATAGCGAGTTTTAAGGATTTATTTTGCATGGAGTGGAACCAGGAAAACATTTTGCTACTCCTGGATTTAAATGATCAGCGTGATATCTTAAGAGAGCAAAACGCCACTTCTATTACAATACCATAAAAAAAGAATATCCTTGGCAGGAAATCGACCATCGACTCCTTTCTTTTCTTTTTTCTTTAATGTGTCGAATAAAATAATATAACATGCACTTAACTCCGCAACGTCATCCTCATCCTTCATTTTTGTTTTAATTTTACGAATGTTCTGTGTATACGGTTTTGTGCTCGCGAATTTACTGGATCAATGGCGAACAGCGCCCCGTGCGTACACCATTCGTATATACAAAATGAGGCATTCCGTTCGGCCTCGGCTTGCCTCATACGCGTACGTGCTCAAATCTGTACCCGCCTTTAGACGCATAAGATGACGCCATCGTTGCTGCGGTCGTTGCGTTTTCTATTTTTATGTGTGTTATCTCTGATTACGTCCTTACTGTAGTTGTAGTGAGTACGTAAAGACGAAGCTTGTGAAAAATGAGCAAAGTCTAAGATGACGAATTGGTGGCAATTGCAGCTGCAATTATAGTTAATGCGCTAATCCCAAAATGTCGAATAAAAAGATTATGAGTTTATCCAAGCCTTTGAAATCGAAGTAGAAATAAGGGGTTATGATGGACAAATAATGTTATTTTTAACAGACGCGTTGTTTGTGAACAGATTGCTATTTCTGTGTGTTCATAAAATAACAGACATGTTAAAAATAACACAGGTTGTCAATCATAACCCCCATAGTGACAGTGATTTGATTAAAGATTTAATATTGGATGACGTTGATAATTTAAAATTGGAGTATAGATGCGACGCAGGAACTTTTTCCGGATGAAAAATACAGCCCTTGCATTTTTGCTGACCAACATAGGGCCAAAGATCAGCAAAAAACCCTACATTTAGATCAACCAAAAAATGACCGCATAACATTCTTATTACAAATGTCCTTGTTAAACAGTGTATGTTTAAATTATACTCGAAAATCTCAAATAACTACAAAAACACTATAAAAATTAAGCTGTCATTTGACGCAGTCAACAAAATGTCTTAGGTTGCCAAACTTAAAGGTTATGATCCAGAAAGTTCAATATCCACATACGATAAACGTGTTGTAAAAGACGATAAATAAAAATAAGTAATTGTAATTAATAAAAAAACTCAAACTGGTGCCTTCATTTCTTCTTTTTTTTTTTAATGGATTATATTAAAGGGAATAGTAAATTTTTTAATAAAAATTTAATACAGGATATTTGATGGAAGAGATCTGAAAACATAGGAAGAGCGCACTATCAGAAAGATATTGCGGACATTCAATGCATACAAGGCGTATGTATCTATTATGTCCGATATCTTTGGTACTGTCAAAGTCAAGGTGACTTGATTAATTTTCCGGCAAAGGTGTGAAACAATTGCACTAATTAACTGTTTTAGCTTATGGAAAGCGTGAAATAAAGTTAACGTTATGGCACTTTTTTTAAACCTTTTTTTATTTTTTTTACTCTAACTATAAACATTTGTTTTAAGCGCTAAAAATCTGTAAAATACAAGGTGTTTTAAAGATAAGGCGTAGAAAAATTATTTTGATAACTGCCACCTGACATAATAACATGATGTAATTAATTTACGACGTGCCAAAATTTAGTAACTTTTTGTTTCATCCAGTTTTTTATTTAAACAATAAAGAAAGCGAATGGACTTGGGATATTTCCGAGACCTTTACCCGTCTGAAAGCAAACGACACTTTACAACTACTTCCATGGTTTCACATTGAATTTAGAAGTTGTATTGTGTATTGATAACCCTAAGTCTGGTATTTAACATTGTCTTTGTAACGGCCCATGTTTTATAATAACACAGTTTCTTGTTTAATACCTTTTTGTATCTATGTTGTTCATTTTCTACTCCTACATTTTATTCTGGCTATAAGAACATATTTTCAAATTACTTTACTGTTAACTTCTCTTTTTAATTTGCATTGACACTTTTGACGAACGAATTGTCCGTTGGGAAAATTAAATGTCTCAGGAGATTTAGGCTCCCTTACCCCGTGAACTCTGGGATCTAGAATCCGTTGTCAAAGCGATTTGTGGACGGTTATGTGGGTTAGTAATATGTCTAAGTCCTTTTCGATGACCTATAAGCCAGTTTCAGTACGATCCCATGCTCCATATATTTCGAGGGCCCACTCCGTGATAGGCGTGGTTTCAAAACTCAATATATTTTAGGATTTCTCAAGAAACTTTCTTTTTAGATTAGTAGATGTTGGTGATGATCAACGGCGTAAACTAAACGAAACAAAACAAGAAAGAGATTTTCTTCGACAGCAACTTCAAAAATTAAAGTCAGAAGGCGGTTTGCTCGCTGAAAATGCGTTGCTAAGAGATATGGAAAACTCTTTGGAAGAGGTTAAAATAGTCAGAGCGCAGTTAAAGGAGTTGCAAGTAAGAATTAAAAATTTAAATGCTTTATTTGTAATCAAGTTAATTACTAGATATCCGCTAACCCGTAAAACTTTCCTTTATAGGGTGTTCTAAGTATCATGTCAATATTTTTTATGGTGAATGCGTATAATATGTAAAATTAAAATTACCGGTAGAAACTGATAAAAATATCCTTAGAAAAGCACAGAATTATTGTTCTATTGAAGCTTTATTAACATTCGCGTAAAGATTGGTTTAGTTGTAGCTTGTTTGGAGGCTCGAATAGTTATCGCTACAAAAAAATGTCTCGTCTCGTCTCGTCTCGTCTCGTTTCGTCTCGTCTCGTCTCGTCTCGTCTCGTCTCGTCTCGTCTCGTCTCGTCTCGTCTCGTCTCGTCTCGTCTCGTCTCGTCTCGTCTCGTCTCGTCTCGTCTCGTCTCGTCTCGTCTCGTCTCGTCTCGTCTCGTCTCGTCTCGTCTCGTCTCGTCTCGTCTCGTCTCGTCTCGTCTCGTCTCGTCTCGTCTCGTCTCGTCTCGTCTCGTCTCGTCTCGTCTCGTCTCGTCTCGTCTCGTCTCGTCTCGTCTCGTCTCGTCTCGTCTCGTCTCGTCTCGTCTCGTCTCGTCTCGTCTCGTCTCGTCTCGTCTCGTCTCGTCTCGTCTCGTCTCGTCTCGTCTCGTCTCGTCTCGTCTCGTCTCGTCTCGTCTCGTCTCGTCTCGTCTCGTCTCGTCTCGTCTCGTCTCGTCTCGTCTCGTCTCGTCTCGTCTCGTCTCGTCTCGTCTCGTCTCGTCTCGTCTCGTCTCGTCTCGTCTCGTCTCGTCTCGTCTCGTCTCGTCTCGTCTCGTCTCGTCTCGTCTCGTCTCGTCTCGTCTCGTCTCGTCTCGTCTCGTCTCGTCTCGTCTCGTCTCGTCTCGTCTCGTCTCGTCTCGTCTCGTCTCGTCTCGTCTCGTCTCGAAATTCTAGACAAGACGAGAGAGTGTAATCTCTCGACGAAAATTTATCGTTTCTCTCTCGAACATTTTACTTTTTGCTTATTTGAAATTTTCAATTGTTTATCGCAACTTAAAATTTAAATATAGCAAATATTCAAAAGGTCAAAAAGTTAACTATAACACACGTATTCAATATACATATTAAACGGTACCAAATAATAAGTGTGTAATTGGGATTTTGAAAATATGGCATTTATTTAAAATTCATTTTAAATGAAAGCTGCTATAACTTTTATTATCAAACTTTAAATGAAAATGGTTACATTCATATTGGCTCCGCCTCGTTAAAATCAGTTCTCGATCACCAAAGTAGCATTTCACGCACTAGATACAAAAATAACTATTTATTGTTCCAATAGTTTTCTTACCTGGATTATAATAGGGGTAAGGTTAGTTTTTTGTTATTTTTAATTTACCCTATTCAGTATATATTCCAATTATTGATTAATGTGTACTTATTAGAAATTTGTGAATTTTTATCAAATTTGAGACTTGATTATGAATATAGAGGTGTTGCAGAACTTTTTAAAAAGATTTTTTTTTGTGAAATGTAAGATATAACTTTTTACATTTGTATAAAACTTTTTGGGTTTTTGAGTCACACTTTTCTGTGGGGTTTTATTTTGTACAACTACAAGAAATTTTTTATATCGCGAATTTTATTCCAGACAACAGGCAAACAAGACATTATTATACAAGTTTTAAAAGTAAATATAAAAAAGTTTAACCAAATGAAATAGCGCAATAGTATGTCGTACCGTAGATGTTTTAAATTAATTAGAGTTGATAGGTCGTCGCCTTAGAACCAGGTTATTCTATGTCCACTTTTTTTCCTAAATCAGATTTTCTTGCCAGACTATTCTATGTCCGAAGCTCTATCGGTCAATCTTTTCCAAGTAAACCTATGCCGAGTCGTTCAGTAATTACGGTGAGTCGCTAATATCCTATGTCCTTTCAATTTTTTTAATATTTGAACCGAGTTATTCTGTCCTCATAGCCAATAAAATTTGACTGTTTGCATCACGTGGGGGACATAGAATAATTTTGCACATATATTTTAGAAAACAACATTTTGAGGTTAGTGCATAATTTTCTGTCTTGTGAACGTGTATACGTGTTTATATGTTGCTTTTTTGTTAAAAAAAAAAGAGTAATTTATAATGAGCAGTTTAGAAGAATCTTTTTCTGAACCTTTCGAAGACTCAGGGTCAGAATATGAATTACCTACAGCATGTAATAGACGTAATAAAAGAAAAAAGTGAGTATTGTTTTTGAAATATTTATAGGTTACAATTTAGAATATTATTAATTTCAAATATTTATAGTTTTTATATTGATGATAGTTCATCTGATGCAGATGTGTTCTTTCCTGTTAAACATTTGAGAAATTTGCATCAACTAGACGTTCAAAGTAAAAGCAGCATTCCTGGAACATCTAAGGCAGCAAATTTAAATAGCCCAGTCAAATCAGATGGCCCAAATAGCCCAGACAATTTAGATGATCCAAATATCCCAGACTATTCAGATGGTCAAAGGTATTTTAATATTATTTTTATTTAATTTGTAGTACCTAAGTAGTACCAATATCAAAATCTTACTGGGTATTTTTTTTAGCACACCAGTAAAGAAGACTAGGAAACGAAAATCTAATGAGGCTCTTTGGAAGAAAAATATTAGAAAAAGATTGAGACAAAGCGGAGAAGAATATACAAGTTGTCGAGGCAAGAATGTTAAGGCAAGGGCTTGTGTAAGAAACTGTTTGGGCTGTGGCTTTAAGTGTCTGGACAATTTTAGTATCGAAGAAACAGCTTTAATTCATAGTGAATTTTGAAAAAATAGTGACGATGCAAAAGGCCATTTTTATGAAAAAACTACCGAAAAATATTGTGTGGAACGCCAAAGGAATAGAAATGTGCGTCAGAGAACAAAGACATATTCTTACAAATATTTTCTCCAAAAAAATTAAAATAAAATACGCGTTTGTAAAAGATTTTACTTGGGTGTTTTAGATATTAGTCAGATCAGAATATCTTACTTTTATACCCACAAGAGAAAGGGGATAACTAGTACTCCCAGTCAGTACCAAAGAGGCTGCAGTACGGAAAAAAAGATTAAAGAGGAAAACAGACAACTAATTAGAGATCATATTAATATGTTTCCTCGTACACCCTCCCATTATTGTAGGAGTTCCTCCTTCAAAGAATATTTAGAGAGGACGTTGTCTTTATCAAAAATGTACGACCTATACGTTAACTGGTGTGGTGAAAAAAATGTAATACCAGAAAAAAAGTGGCTTTACTCAAACATTTTTAATTATGAATTTAAAAAAGGATTTATGCGAGGTGTGTACAGAATATCATTCAAAAAAGGAAGAAGGAACATTAAATGAAAATTTAGAGGAAAAATATAGGGCTCATATAAAAGCTAAACTAGAAGCTCGTGAAGAGAAACTAAGGGATAATATATCGGTCTGTAAAAATGACCCGTCTACAGCTCTAATTTGTTTTGACATGCAAAGTGTTCTAACTTGCCCACAAACACAAATTTCAAAGGCCTATTATAAGAAGAAGTTTGCAGTTTATAATTTGACTGGAAATGATGTCGTTAAAAAGACTGGTTTCTGCGTTTTGTGGCATGAACTTTTGGGCGGAAGAAAAGGTGTCGATATTGCAAGTGTTCTTCTAAATAAGTTTTTATTGGGAAGGCCTGATGTAACCAAACTGATTTTGTGGTCAGATGCATGTGTACCACAGAATAAAAACTCGCACATGTCTGCGGCTCTATTATACTTCTTAAAAATGCATCCTGAAATACAGTCCATTGTTCAAAAATTTCAAGTCCCGGGTCATAGCTGCGTCCAAGAAGTTGACGCCATGCACAGTGTCCTGGACCGCAATTTAAACAAACTAGAATTGCACAGTCCACTAGCTATTTACAAAGCCATTAAAAATGTTAGATCAAGAAATCCCTTTCGAATTATCCAGATGCAAAAAACAAATTTTTTAGATTTCAAAACTATATTACAATTCGTCACTTTATCGACTGTCCCATACAAAACTTTAGTTGAAATTTCTTATGGACATAATCTATGCTACGTTGAATACCAATTAACTTTTAGCGAAAAAACTATTAGAGTACTGTTTTTAAAACGTACCAGACAAAATAATCCACAATCATTTTTGGATAATATTCCAGCTCCTCCAGTTCAGCAACCTCCTCCTGATCTGCCAGTCGATAAAGTTGCTCATATTAAGAGCTTGTCAAATCATTTTTCCGCTATAGACTTGCAATTTTGGAAGTGTGTTATAAAAATTTTTTAAACTTTTAAGTAATACTAAAATATGAATAATCTTGTAATCTTAAGTTAGTTCTGCATTTTGTTTTTTCACTAGGTTGAAAGTTGGAATTAAAAATTATTTTTCTACCACTGTTTTCTTTATTATAAAAATGTTTTGTGGACATAGGCTAATTTGATTAGGTAATTAATTTATTGTGTAAAGTCTGATTCATTCTATGTCCCCAACATATTTTTTTTAATGACATTTTTCTCTTAAATGTCAAAAATTGTAGTAAATGTGTCGGTTACCTGTTTTTAGCAAATAATTGAACTGGGTTAAAAAATAATATTTATAATGAACATCACAAAGTTGTAGACGTTATAACGTACTAAACTTTAAAAACCGTCTCCTGCAATTTTTTAAAAAATGGACTTAGAATAACCTGGAGCGACGAGGTATCTCGATAAATTTAACTGGCAGGCGCTGATACAAATTATCAGTACAACAGAGCCTTCTTTGTTTGTATAAAAAACTATTCAACAGCCAGCAATCGTTATAACTTTCGTTCAGTCTGATTTTTCTGAGGGTACTCTTGGAGATAAGTTGGAAATACAGCAATTTTTAATCTTTTTTTCGAAATCCTGTTATATATTTTTAAAAGCATTTTTCAAAATTATTCATTTGAATTCAGAAGATGGCATCACAACAATTTTAGTTTCCAATTTAACCTCCCCCCCCCCGAACTGACTTCCAAGACAAAGTATTTACGTATTCAGGTAACGCCTTATTTGGGCCACATAACTTTAAATTTCACTTGTATACGTCAAATAGTCTCCGAGTAAAACGTCTGTGACAGACAAACAGACAGATAAGCGATTCTATAAGTGCTTCTTATTGCTAATTTCGGCACTAATAAGACAAATTACCTGAAAAATAATTCGTTGTTTTTGTGTTTTACAGTCTTTTCATGTTTTGTCGTTGGTAAATCTTTGTTAAATTTGAATTTGATATATGTTTTTATCACGAGAGAAACGAGACGAGACGAGAGAACAGTTTTGTCTCGCCCTACGAGACGGGACGAGAGAGGCCTCTCTCTCGTCTCGTCTCACGGAATCACTAAAAATAACTACAAATTTTTAATGAATTCTACAACTTTAAAACTTACAATATTCAAACATCATATTTATAACTATCATAAAAGTATGTAATAAACAACGCACTTAAAATACAAATCCTAATGATTCTAGAAAACTCAAAACGAGTGTTTGTTGTTGTTAATATAAGTCGATCTTTTATGGAATCGACGAGAATGGAGGACATATCGAACATTTAATGTGACACAATTAATGTTATAATGTTATTTAGCTTAGTTTTTGTTTAATTTGCTTTTTAAATGTTTTTAATTATAATCTTGCAGCTGATCCCTAAAATGCGATTATATCGTAAACCGTTGTTAATAACAAGTGTACTTTTCTTCTATTAAAATAACGTTGCTTTAATATTCTTTTAAAAAAATACCGCTAACTTAAACAGCAAAACAATTTAGGTCACATTTATGCCACAAATGTAGCGTATGTAGCGCCCGCTACAAACTACATCGAAGTAGGTACTAGATTATGGTTTTTCGTGCCCAAAAACCTCTATTTACAAATTTTTATGTATATATATATATCCAAAAATGTTAAAGTTATTGCAAATAAGAAATCTTAAAATTTAACCTTTACCACCCTATATATTATTTATTAGCAACATTTTATTAAAACAAGTTGGTTTAAATCGTAATATTTTAAAGTGAGAAATCTAGCATACTTCTATGTACAATTACTTAAGGATATTATCTATTATAGTAAGAAGTTGTGATTATTCTCGGTTAATAGTGACAGTAGTATTACACCTGTGAAACGTATAAAAAAGTATGCGTTGTCAGTTAAATATTTGTAAGCTCTTTATAATTGCCTAAGAATGGAAAATTCTTCGTTTTCTGAAAAGACAAGTATAATGAGTGGTGTAGGTAAATCAACGATATATAAAGTGATAAGTGAAATAAAAATGGAGTTGCTAAACCCCCAAAGAAAAATGCAGGAGGTCAGAAAAAAAATGGTATTTACCGAACAAATTAAAAGTATAATAAGAAGAAAATTCAACACTTGTCAAGGTTTTGGACACATTTAATAGTAATCCGTATTTTCCTAAAATGGGAAAGAGACAAGTATTAAAAGTAATTTTAAAAAACCGACTTTAAAATCATGTAGATGCCGTCACTACATTTTAACCAAATTTATGTTAGGAGAGGGTTGTAACACTAAACTCGACTATTTAACTTCACTATTTATTATATTCGACTAAACTGTATAATGATTCGCACAATAATGCCCTATATCTAAATAAAACGCTTATATAATTTCTGGTGATTTCGACTTATCGCCTAATGAGTCATAGTACTAGATATTCCAGCGGCGTCTCTTACGGGGTTGCTAACATTTATATAAAACCGCTTGACGTGACAGATAAAAATAAATAATTATAATTTATGCTGATTATGAAACACATTTAATCTGGTAACACATACATTAATGAATGATTTTGTTTAGTTTTCAATAATTTCTTTTAGGAGATATTTTCAAGTCAGCACAATCAGAACTGCTTAAAATTCTATTAAACAATGGTTTTAAAAGTTTACTAAAAAAAAGGAGGCTTCATTATCTAAAGTGTTAGTATGCATATATTTAAATGAAATAGAAATAAAACTTACCTAGCCTCCTTATTTATTTCATCGGTTTGGACAAAATAAAACTAAACATGTTTAAACCATTGTTTATAGAAGTCTTTAGGGATCAAAATAACTTTCCAAAAGTCACAAAAACTCAAAAAAATCGCACAAAAATTGCTAAAAATAACGACAATCAAAAGACAACTAAATTTCAAATGTCACAATATTCTAACTAATGCGCAGACTAAAATCTACCTGGACATTTACGCTATCGTAAACGTTTTTCCTTGCCACCCAGGCAGCCGTTTTCCTATCTCGCCCTCTTCATATCTATGACTAACCCGCTCTAGTCCATTCTTGCTCTTCAAAATATTAAAAACTTTTAAATGCAATAACGGTTTGAGTGTTTCCATCTAGTGAATATAAAGTAAAGGTGGCTTAGACCATTTTTGCATCTAACTTTATGTTGTATACTTGCTATTAATGTCATTAGTTAAGAATTGTTAATTTTGTCGGTTAGTCCGTTATTGCACTGAAGGACTCAAATATTATCATTTATGTTTCAGGATACGTATGCTCTTCATAATAAACATCTACGAAATTTAAGGAAATATCGAGAAACAATGGACAGAGGAAATTATCCGAAAGAAATTAAACAGAAAAAAGCTCCCGTCAGAAAAATGACAAAAGCCAAAGCTAGTCAATTGTACGAAATTGAAATACCGGCCGAATCGTTTGATCATGTGAAAAATTTTTCTCCCGCTGTGAAGAAACTGTCTAAATAATTATCTCATTTAATTGATAACCATTTATGACTGCCCTCGGATATGGCAATGCTTGTCTTATAAATTTTGAGATTAACATAATTGGTCGAAATTCGAAAATGTCCTGGAATATAGTATAAAAATTATTAAAATTGTCAATAACTGTAAAGGATAAAATCGGTAGGCAGAATTTTATTCGACAAATTGTTGATATTTTTAATTATAGATAAAACTATTTAAATTTTTTTTTATTTACAATTTTCCGCATCAACCATTTCGGTTATTAGCGGAGAGTGTTACTTTAAAACCTATATCAGGTGTTTGATCAGTGGTGTGCGGTGACAGTTTTGGAAGGGGAAGCGATTGTATAAAAATACAGCAGGCCAGTAAGCACAGCGCCGCAGGCGAAAATTTTTCGCGGCGCATTCACCATTTTGTCAAAATCTTGCTTTTTTTTTAAGTGTTACTATTACTTTATTACCTAGTTTAGTACTAGAAGCTATAAAAAACTTGCCATTGAAAAGCTTCCTTGGTTTATTTAAACGTAAAAAAAAACATTTAACTGAAGTTTTTTTTTTAATTTTTTCCAGCATTTTTCGCACAGTTGACACAGCAGTTGATATTTATTTATACTTAAGATCTATTCACCTATCCTCAATGGCTGCAAATTTGTCTATAACATCGACGTAACATTTTGGATTTAACAAGCTGTTTTTTAATGGATATTAGGGCTAAATTAGAGAGTCTGTCTTCACCTTTTGAATTTCGTATAAAACTTTAATGCGCTTTAAAGATGAAAAACTTCGCTCAACTGACGTACTTGCGGCTGGGATGGTTGGTACTAATTCACACAACTTGACGACTTTACAATGGGACTTATTTAAACTAGTTATAAAAAAATTTAACACATTGATGGGCGTCTTTTTATCACTAATTTCAGTTGTTTTATAAACAACACTTAACTAATGCTGGAATATCGAAAAAATGTCCATAATTTAATTTAAGTGAATTAAAAGCTTTCGATAGAAATTTTGATGAATCGTAGTTACTAATATTAAAATTGCACAATTCAACAAATTTTAATTCGTTAAAGTTTTGAAATCGAGAGTTCATTTGTTGTAAAATATCAAAAATTTCGGCGTATAATCGACGATAGGAGATCTCTCTGTCGCCGACATTATCAATTCTAATTCTCTTTCTTTCAGGATCTAAGCCAATGTTTTGAGTCTTATTTTAAAAGTGTTCAAACTGATCTCGGTTTTTATTCATTTTATTTTTAAAATCATCAATTTGCTTAATGCAAAAGCCAATGTCATTTGACTTTGTCTGTAAAATGTCGAATAAAATGTCAGTAAAAGGGAAAAAATGTTGAGCCAAAAATTGAAATTAAAGTTTTGTTTGAGCCAATGCAAATACCCTTTAGCGGCAGTAACAGTTTCAGCATCCCATGTTTCTTTATTATCCCAACCGTCTTGAAAAAAATGTATCAAAGAATCACGGTATTAAAACACTGTTTGCACTAAACGTCCATTGTAGTTACATCGCGTCTGAGCAACTTTTGTAAACATTTTTTGAGCGTGAATGTCCAAAGCGCGAGTTCTTTTCGATGACTTTGAAAAGAAGGAAGCCAAACCACTAAGCGTCGAAAAGAAAACTTTGCAATCTTTAATATTATTCATGCTTCGCGATAAAACCAAATTAAGTCTATGTGCTATACAGTGAACTAAGATTGCATGTTTAAACTTCTCTTTCACTTTAGCTTGAAGGCCTCCTAAACGGCCAGCCATTACAGCAGCACCATCTGAGCTCTGGGCAACAAACTTAGAACCACATTCTAAACTTGAAATAATGTCACAAACAATGTTAAACAATAAATCTGCAGTTCGTTCGCTATTGACGTCCAAAAATCCTAAGAATCGCTCTTGAGGAATGCCATCCAATACATATCGCACAAAAATGGATAATGGACTTAAGTTTGCTCTATCTGTGGTTTCATCAAGCGCAATTGATACGGAAGGTACTTTTTTAATTTCACTTTTAATGTGATCCATCACAACGTCGGCAATGCATTTAACTAAATCATTTTTGATTCTTTTTGAGGTACCTCGGAAAGGCGAATCAATAAAATGATTTTTTCGGGTATCATCGTATTTTGCTAAAAAACTTAGAAGGTCCATGTAATTTCCTTGATTGTCGGATCCACTTGCTTGATTGTGACCCCTGAAACTTAGTTCATGCTCTCCCAGGAAACAAGTTACATCTGTTAGTCCAGGATTCGTAAGTAAGGTCGATCTTTACCCATCTGTTTAAAAGTTATTTTTTATTAAATAAAATATGTTTTTAAATATACCGCAAATGGGTTGCCTAAGAAAATACGATCACGGCCATTTTTTACTTTCCTCTCTGTGTACAGATAAGGAAAGTATAGGAATCATGATAAAAGTTGCTTATAATGTCATTCTCTATTATTTTGTTTTTATACATGATTTTCCTAAAATGGACCTAATTTGATGAAAAGTGCAAATTTTGAATTTTGAAGATAACTCAAAGACGGATGAAGACAAAAACACCACATTTTGAACTTAAGCTTTGATCTATCTTGCGACGAGCTGATTAAAGTTTGGGTACAGTCAAAGTATTTGGGGAATACTTTACAGGGTGTCGTTTTTTCACTTTAAGAAAATAAATAGTCTGGACCGAATTTTCTTAGGCAACCCAGTTGCGGTATATTTAAAAACATATTTTAATTAATAAAAAGAAAGTTTGATCCATTAAACAGATGGGTGAAGGTAGACCCTATTTCGGATCTTAGACTATATTAATCGTTGTAAGAGTCCCTATTTTGTTTTCCTTTTATTGTAAATTTTGTTGCTTATTTTTAAATGATTGTCCAAACTATGTTCAATGCGATAGGTCCCTAATGTTTTTCTTTAATTGTAGCACTTATTTACATGTCGTTTTACACTTTTGTGAAAATTACTCAAGTCTGTAAAATTGACTGAGTTCCAATGTGTTTTTTCGGCTATATTAAAAAGTAGGAAGGCCTGCAAAACAATTTCTTCAAAGTTTTGCAGCTGGTTAACCATTCATACTTTTCATAGAACCCTACGTAAAAATGCCTGGTAAATTTTTTTGCTGACTTTTTTACCTTCGTCTCTAAATTGATAGGATCTTTTAGTCTACTAGAAATAATAATGTTTGTTTTCTCTTTAAAATTTTTACTTGAAAATCCTTTTTTCAATAAAGAGCACACAATACAGACACAATTTACCACATTATTATTGTTTACAGGCACAATGCATAGTTCCTTCATTTTACAAAAAAAAACTACTACGAAAAATAAACCGAAATCTATCTGAAGTCTACGATTGATAAGAAGATTCATAGAGTGAAAGGAGTATACCTTCTAAATTTTCATTAGACAAGTAAGTGAATCGGTGATTATAAGTGATTTTTTATGATTGGATGTTTTAATGTAGACCAGTGCTTGATGTATAGAGTAAAGTTCTCCAGTGAACACACTACTTAGCACAGGTAATTTGTATTGGAGCCGAATAGTTGAGTGATAACTGCTGATTTAACACCATTGTCTATTTTGGAAGCATCTGTGTATATACGGGTGCGATAAAAAGGTAGGCAGGATTTCAAATAGTGGTTGCTCGGTTTGTAAAACCGGCGATAGTGTAAACACGGTCGCGTTAGGTAGACAAAAGTATGCAGTTTTTAGTTATCGACATGGTTTTTGTTGTCGAGGAGTTTATTAGAAATAAGAAATCTGTAATAGCGTCGCAGCGTGCCTTCCTTAAGCAGTTTGATGTTGGTCGGCATAGAGCGGTTCTAGATGAAAGAACAATTCATCAGTCTGCGCTTAAACGAAAATCTACTGGCCGACCAAGGACAGTAAGAACACCGGAAAATGTGAATGCAGTAAGAGTTTCCGTACAATAGTCTCCAAGGCGTTCAGCTCATAAGGATGCAGCTGCTTTGGGCATTTCCGATAGAATTATTCGAACAATTTTGCACAAATCACTACAAATGCATTTGTACAAAATGATGGTAGTGCAGGAATTAAGTGAAAGAGATTTTAGAACCTGTACAAATTCATGCCAGGACCCAGGTAGCAACGAATATTGGCCTGATATAGAAAGTCAATATTGCCCCAAGATTACAATATTGGCTTGACAAACTATTTTAATATTGGCTACGCATCAAAGTACTTACGCTTGAAAAACGAGGGCCAACGTTATATTCAAACATTAATTTAATATATTTTTATAACGCACTAAAACCCCAGTTCCCTTTCGGACTGGTGGCTGGATAACCAACAAGTCACCAAGTGTCTCTACGGACGAGGCCACGTCAAGTCACCGAGCGTCTCTACGAGAAGAGCGCGGGCTGTCGTTGTCAAGTGGCTGGCTGTCGAGAAACTTTTTCGGTTGTGTTTAAAAAAATCATTATTGCTTTTCATTTTTGTTACATGCTTTCTACGATTAAACTTGTTAAATAAACCTAGGTTTTCTTGATTGAACCCGAGGATAATTAGAAGCCTCATATTTTTTCGATAAAATGCCAATATAAGTAAACAAAATTGGATGAAGATTAACGTGTATATTGAATACAATATAGAAATTATGCCGCACGACAAACAAAACTCAATATTGAGTTTCATCATTGGTCCTATATTTGTCTTTAATTTTGCACCTACATTGTTTTACAATATTGGTTTAAATTATGCATTCATTCTAAAAGCAATGTTAGGTTAAAAACGTATTTAAATATTGGCTGCGGATCAAAGTGCTTACGCCTGAAAAACAAGGGTCAACGTTGTATTGAAACATTTATCCAATATATATTTCAATAAATCGCCAATATAAGTAAACAATATTGAGCTTATATTAAAGTGTATATTGGGTAGAATATAGAAATTATACTGCAGTACAAACCAAATTCAATATACTTTTTCAATATTGGTCCCATTTTATGCCATCATTATCATACAATATTGGTTTTTAATTTGATAC